AGCCTTTGTCACTCAAGTTAATTCTAGCCGTTAGTCATTTTAGAAAAACGAAACTAGTGGTGCATGACATCGTGCCTTAAGGCAAATTGCTGGAACTTCTAGTACCGAAAACTAAAATTATTAAAAAAAAACTTTGCAACTTTAGTAGGAATCGAATTGAATTATTCAAATCGGTTGATCCGTGATGTTCGCGAAATCGTCGACGAAAATTTTTATCCGCTAACACACATACACATACACACACACATACATCCATTTTTTCTAATAATGAGGTATGCCAAAATGTTCAGAAACCTCTAAAACGTAAAGATATATATTGATTCGTATTGATAAGGAGACAAGCTGATTAGTTTTTAACAAAGGCAGGTCTAACCGTTCCAAAGATATAGAGCAAAAAGTGCCAAAAACGGTAACTCAGTTTTTAAGAGAACGGAGCGTCCGATTTGAATAATTCAAAAAACATTTTACTTGTATTAACAAGATGAACTACTGATCAAATTTTTATGAAGGCAGGCCTAGCGGTTTCGGAGATCTAGCAAAAAAAGTAAAAAAAATGCCATCTGGCGGTCAAAAATGATCATTAGACATATCCACATCAAATTATCAGATATTTTATAGAGATTTTAACAATAAGTATAAATTTTGTTTACATTCCTATGGTCTCCGTACCAATGTTTATCCGTTAGACGGCGGCGCGGCGCTTACGCGCTTCGATATTTCGTCTCTATGCAGTTAAAGCATTACGATTGCTTTGAAAAAAAGTTCAGAATTTCCAAAATATTTCAAAATAAATTTTTCTTCAAAAAGTCTTTTCTTTTTCAAAAAAAGTAAATTTTTGTCAAAAATTTATAGTTTCTCGAAAATCTAATTTTTTCAGAGTAATTTTTTTTCAAAAATGTTAATCTTTTTAAAAAATAATAATTTTTGGTACGGGAAGTTCCAGCAATTTGCCTTAAGACACGATGCCATGCGCCCCACTAGTTTTGTTATTTTTAGTATATGGCTGTTTAAAAGGCAACCCACTAGTTGCTGTTGTAACAATTTTTGAACAAAATTTTTTTACTTTTATTACCATGCCCCCGTAAGATAATTTTCACTTGATATTATATTTGAGATCCAAAATCTCCAGAGAAAATCGGATATGATACTGCTTGATATCGAGCGGACCGAGGTTATAAAACAATTAATGATAATATATGATTTATATACCTAGAAGTACGCATATGATGTCATGTGTTATCACAAAACCCAAATACAAGCGATTCGTAATACCGCACTTGCTAGAATTTAAACAGTTTACATGTAAAAATAACTTCCTTTCAATGTATTTATAAAATTCTGGCTATCACATCATTAGTCACAAATAGCGAAGATTAATTTCTGGTAATTATTTCTAATTATGATTGTATCAATAATACATTCCTGTTTGCTATTGTAACACCCATTTTTTTGTAACATCTGCTTCTTTTGTATCAATGTAAAACTGCCAAAGAAAGGTAAATTTGAAATATATTGCCTGACAGATGTACATAAAGGTGGGATAAATAGAAAAAAATATTGGCAAAATTATCATTGCTGTATGGAATTTCTTAGTTGGAAATAGAAATAATGCAAGCAGTAACTTAAAATAATAAAAAGAGAAATTGGTAATTACATTTTGGAACTAAATTTTAAAAATTGAAATAACAAACATTTTGGAATACCTTAGAAAAAAAATGGATGTATGATGTGACATACGTACATGTGTGTTTGTATATAGTATGTATGTATGTATGTATATTTGGATACAAATTTTCGACCAAGATTTCGAGAGCATGGATCAACCGATTAGAATGATTCAAAAAGCATTGAATTTATATTGATGAGAGTCATGCTGATTAGTTATTGCCAAAAACTTTTTGGCAAAAAAAACAGCCAACAATTTGCAAGTACGATGTCATGCACCACTAGTTTTTTTATCCTTTTATTACATTCATTATCTAAAATCTAAAAAAAATGGGCGCGGAATAAAACAAAAACATGTAACATTTGTATTGATGTATACGTCTTGTATTTTATCGAGGCCATAATTCAAACAAACGTCTACGAGACAAATTATAATTCATTTGAACACTTTGAAAATTATAGATAACACTCAATTTACTTGATAAGATTTATCATTGCTTCTTTAAATAATACCTTGAGTAAACGATTGGCAAAATTGTTAGCAAACTGTTAGTAAAAATATTTACTTTTATAAAGCTTGTAAAAGAAATCATTAAATTTTAGGCGGATACATGAGGATTTATATACTAGATTGTTCGGAATTTTATGACAAAATTTTTAACGGTCGTCTTATTTTGATATCTCATATAAAAGTCAAATAAATTCAATTCAAATATAAAAGTCAATCAAAGTTCAATTTCATTTACGATATTGTTGCAGAAGTTATATATATAAATAAATTAATAATATTAAACTAATTTAGGAACAGTTAATTACTACCACAAAGTGTAATTAATATATAATTAATATTTATAATTTTTTTCACAAATGACAAATTCACATATGCAAACGTGTATGAACCAACTGCTAAAATTCAGAGAAAATTAGAAAATTCTCAAAAAAAATTATATCAGACACTTATCAATTTATATATCATTTGATTCACAATTAATGTGAATATTTTATACATCATCTCTTATACATCATTTTGAGCTGGAATTAATAATTTTCGAGAAAATTCAGACAAAACTCCTACAATTTAGTAAAAAAAAGCGAGAAATTTCAGAAAAATTAAATGCAGACACATATCAATTTCCTTAATATTCGTAATTTTATTACAATTATTTAATTATGATCAAAAGAAAGAAAAATCCTTTATAACTACGTTTTACAAACTTTTTTTTATTATTATTTTAAAATAATTATTAATTATTTTTAAAAAATGTTTGTTCGTATGACACATATACACTCTTCCTACGATTATTCTAAAAAATTATTTGAAAATATTTAAAAAATGCAGAATTATTCGATTAATTATAAAATTATTTTTACAGCAAATATATTTATAAATCGACCGATTGATTTCATTCATTTGTTTGAAAATATAAATTAATCGAACTTATTTGTTTATAAAACAAAAGCTTTGATTCTATGAACATAATAATTAAATTTCAAATAGCTTCATTTATATTTATCATTATTTTATCTAACAATTATGAATGTTATAATCTTGGTTGTTTTGGTAATATAATTAATTAGAATTTTATATAACAAATGTAACTGTGTGTATAATTTATACAAAATAATTTAAAAAAAATATAATATTTTAATAAAAATTTATTTATTGTACAATTAACTTCCAGGATGGTATAGTATGTATGTATGTTTCAATACAATTTTCGTCCACGAATTCGAGGGAACGGAGCATCCGATTAGAATGATTCAAAAAATATTCAAATTGTATTGACAGGGATTGTATTGAATTGTTTTTGGAAAAGGCAGGTCCAGTCATATCAAAGGAACGGAGCGAAAATTGCAAAAGAATGCAATTTTGAGTAAACGGATCATATTTGGTTAAAACAATTTGCTTGTGTTGACGGTGTGAAAAAATGATAAGTTTTTTGGGGATATATGAAATTTTAAATTTCACAAATTCCAAAGTTCACTTATTTGTTCGAGATTAACAATTTTAACTGTGTAATTCAATTTATATAATTCTTTAAAATATGAGATAAGGTCCTCTAATGCATGATGAAATATGAATTAGATTTTTGTTTATTCACTTTTTTTTGTAAGAAAATATAAACGTCGCCGACTGATTTATAAGCTCTTATATTTCATCTATTAAAATACAAATAATAAGCGTTATTTTTATTTTGTTGCGAATGTAATTTTTATAATTTAGATTTTCTGAATAATGACAGAAATCAAGTGTGAAATCAATTTACTAATTGTTAGTTTACAATTGGGTACATATCAAAATTGTAATATCATCTTGTAAATTAATACTATAGATAAACAAGTTTTAAAATATTAATTAATTATTAAGATAATCATCGATTTCATTTCAAAAAAACAAATAAAATATTCTCTATTGTCAAACTTTAGCCCGAAATGTCAAATGATGACTTAATTGTACTCATATTGTACTTTTAAAATATTTAGTTTCGAAAGAAGTTCGATTCAAAGATTTAAGAGAGCCTGGATTCTACTAATATTAAATTAGTAATATCGAAATATATCAAAAATCATTGTAGTATTTTAAAAAAAAATCCCTATTGTCAAATTAGAGCCCCACAATCTCAATACATATTTTTGAAAACATTTTGATTGAAAAGTGTAATAAATTGGATTTAAGAATCTGTTATCGAATTGTTGTTTCAAAACATTGCCAATATAAGCACTAATAGAACTTATATTCCATATTTAAAAAAAAAAATTAAAAAAAACCCTATTGTCAAACATTGAGCCCGAATTGTCAAATGATAACTTCATTGTACTTTAAAATAATTAAGTTTCGAAAGAAGTTTGATTCAAAGACTTAAGAGAGCCTTGATTCTACCAATATAAAATTACAAAAATCAGAATATATAATGTTACATTTCAAGATTCATTCTAGAAAGAAAAAAAATTGTAAGCCCGAAATGTCAATATATATTTTTGAAAACATTTTGATTAAAAGATGTAATAAATCAGATTCACTAATCTGTTATAGAAATATTTTTAAACATTATCAATATAAGCGCCAGTAAAACTTAAAACAAACGTTAATTGAACTCAGGTAATTCTTTCTATAGTAAACATTATCACATGGCATCATAATCTTTCTGTTGTATCTACACGCTGCCTCTCCATATAAGGCTATGATACCTTCTCTCACTGCTAACTCCTACGCAAAAGGTGAAATAAAATGTAACACGACGACTGTTAATGAATTTTCAAAATTTCCCAACCACCTCAATTACGAACATCTTGCAAATTAACTCGTTAAAAATCAAATCTTAAAATTAATTTACCTGCTGCGCTACAGGTTCTAATATGCTCTCGATTGTTTTTGTATGGAAAACAGGCATTATTGTAACACACTAAGGCACCACAAATATTAACAAATATTTATAAATAAATAATTTAACAATTTAAAATTAATTATATAATAATTTATCACACAAATGTCAACTGATACGTGATAAATTTAATAACACACAGCATGTAGCACAGAACCACAAGACAGGCGGCAGCACGACGAGCTCACTACTTGCAGTCCTCTGCTGACTAGTGTGAGTCACGTTACGTATATAATCGTCGATCGAACTCATACAAGGAAAACTTGTTAGACCGACGGCTGGTAGTAATTTCGCAACGCGTTTTTTAACTTCCCGTAGTTATAGCTATAGCAAGTTATAGTAATCGCAAAAAAATCGAAAATGAAAATTTTTATATATCTTTACGTTTCAAAACCTCCTGAACATTTTAGCATACCTTAGAAAAAATGGATGTATGTGTGTGCGTGTGCGTGTATGTGTGTGTGTGTTCGAATACAATTTTCGTCGACGATTTCAGGAACACGGATGAAGCGATTTGAATAATTCAAAAAGCATTTGATTCGTATTGATAAGGAGACGTGCTGATTAGTTTTTGACAAAGGCAGGTCTAGCCGTTCCGAAGATACTAAATCTAATTTTTCCAAAGTTAAAAACAAATTAATTTTTTTTAATCCTTTCCACTCGGATGGCGCAAAATTCATAAAAATCTCGGAATTAGCGAGTCGAAAGGGTTAAAAAAAAAATTTTTGGTACGGCAAGTTCCAGCAATTTGCTTTAAGACACGATGCCATGCACCACTTATTATCGTTTTATTTACTTTTACTTATATCTAGCATACCTTTTACTCTTGCATACATATTACAGCTGGATACGACTTTTCCGCATAATACGCCACTCGATGCCGCTCCATGCACTTTGAAACATTGTTCCTATCCCGCATAATACACCTCACTGTAATTAATTATATAATATATTAGTTCTGAATTAGATGTTGAAATATATACGTATTAACAGAGTTTAATAATTGGGTATAACATCAATAATGATCATGAATTTCATTAAAATTTTATTTTAAATCTATACGTTAGGGGGGCGCCCAATAATTACGTGAGGATTTTAGGAGTAGGAGGGGTTCCACAAAAAATTAAAATATCACGTGAGAGAAGGAGGGGTATAGTAAGATATAACGAATTCTTATTTTTTACAAGATTTTTTTAAAAAATATCCTAACATTTTAAAAAAATAAAAAAATTTACCATTTTTTCTCGTAACTAAAAATACACATGATGTTTGGTGGGGAAGGAGGAACCCTTGATTTAATATCACCAAGGGGGTGGGGGTCCAAAAATCCTTAAAAAATCGATTACGTGATGGACGCCCCCCCCCTTCGTAAATTTATAGTAGTATCCTTCATTTGGTGGAATTTAAATAACAATAAACTAAAATGTATAACAATTGAGTTGAAAAAATACAAAAATGTAAAAAGTAAAAACAATGGGATAAGCAAATTGTAAGTACTTATAGATCTATAATCATTTTTTTAAAGAAATTTATGATTTTTATTAATGTTGTTAATTATAAGACTGTTTATATATAATATACAAAATTAATTCTTTTAAAGTGACGTTTAAAAAGGCAGCGTTCTATAAAATAGATATTAGACTTTGGAATCGAATCATCAATATATGTATACAATGCACTTGGGGGGCGCCCATTAATCAGTGATAGATCTTTTAGGGAGTTTTGGACCCCTCTCACCCTTGGTGATATGTCGTGATATTTAAATATACCCCCCTCCCCCAGTAAACATCATGTGTATTTTCAGTTACGTAAAATTTTTTGAGCAAATTTTTGGAATTTACGAAAAAATCGTATATTTTTTTTTGAAAATTCAGGTAAAAAAATAAATTTAGTGCTAACTAAGGGGGCGTCCATTAATCACTTGAGGCTTTTAGGGCGAGGGGGGATTTGACATAAATTTACGAAAAATCACGTTGGGGAGGGGGTCTAGTAAGATATCACGTGTATTTACTTTTTATCTGATTTTTTTTTAAAATCCGAACATTTTCAAAAAAAAAAAAAAAATACCATTTTTCCCGTAACTAAAAATACACGTGAGATTTGGTGAGGAAAGAAGGGGTAATTTTGAATAACGCCAAGGGGGAGGGGAGTTCAAAAATGTTTAAAAAGTCGATCACGTGATTAAGGGATGCCCCGTAAAATAAAAAAGAAACATTAAATTTAGACTTACATTTTCATAAACTCATAACTTATTAGGAATATGAATAAAGTACTTTTGTAAAAGGTCACTACATTGCATTACATCTGCAATCTATGACATTGCACATGTAGCCGTAAATTATAGTTTTTATAATATTTTACTTACAAAAAATACTGTTAATAAATATGTATATAAAATATTTATCACATCCATGCATAAATAAATACTAGTTACAAATGAATATTTCTGTACATACCACCAGCTGTCATTTTAATACGCACACAAAGAAAGTAATCTATATGTATAACTCGCGAATCTCCTGAAGTCAACTGAAAATGATTCTTTGCGCTCTCTCACTAAATACCAATATTTTTTCCCGGGTAAAAAAAATTAATATTACAATTATTTCGAGTCTAGTTTTAGGAATGACAATCAATAGTTATTTGACAAACAAAACATTAAAGTAACAAATTTTTTACCGCCAACTATGCAATGGGTTGCCTGATGTGAAGTGAATGACCTTTTTTCGTTCGTTTGATTTTTAAATAATTGTTAGGAAGATTCAAATATGTAATTGTTTATTAGTGAAAATTATATTTGAATATTCGTTAATTATTAAAAGTATCAAACAATATATGTTAGTTTTAAATACAATTTAGTCTATGATATATTTTCAGCTAAAAATGTACTTGAAGTTGGCGCGCTTGTAACATTAACAATTTACAACATGGACATTCAAGATTTATATGATGGATTAGAAATTTAAGTTTTTATTGGATGTGAATAATAAAAGTGGGTATGAAATTGTTAATAAAATACAATAAGACTTATTATTGCAATTTAAATTCATAGTTGCAGGATGGTTGCAGGCATAGATAAAAGAAGAGTTGCAGGTAGGACTATTTACATATATATTGTACATACTACATTTAAAATTATTAAAACAAAAGGCAAATTCTCACTTACCTTTGATCTTATTCCTGCCATTTATTTCTATTTTTCTTCGCCTCCACCACATTTGAAATTCCCTCCATCAATCTGTCATGTTTTTGACAGTTGTGTGCTGCACAAATTGCATTGTCAATTCCTTCCATTGTTCAATTTTTGACATCACTTGTTGTCGTAGCGCTTTGTACTAATAATTATAATCTTTGTCGCTCATTACCAAATTATTTGTGATGGTAAAACAATAGACAAACGCGATGTACAGATTTAAATCTAGTATTGAAATGCAAAATTACTAAACGTGTCTTTTAAATTACCTTCAAATTCAAAACAACGAGTGAATCGTCCGAATGATTTTTATATTCTTACTTTTTTGTGATATTAACTGATTTGTGATAATTTAATATGGAATTATTGGGTAACTCAAAGATTTTTATATGACTAATTGGTATACTGGAATCATCTGTTACTTATGAAGTGCTAATTGCCAATAAGATATGTTTAGATATATATTAATATGATATTGATGAAAAGGTTACTGCACTTCTACCCATGCGTAAATCTGTAGAAAATCTCTTAATATCATCTCATGATGTAATAGGGCAGAGTTTTAACCAAGCCTTGGCTTTCTCGGGCGCCATGGCTGCCTCCGCACCCCCACAGACATCACCGCTTGCAGAACACCGCAGATCACCCAGCCCAAATTTAAGTCCCAGCAACAGCCCCAAAGCAAGGAACCGTAGAGAACATTCACGCAGTGATACACATTTGTTTGTACCGTCAAATGAGTTTTATAACAACAATGTAGAGAAGACTGATGGAGCTGAACAGGATAACATTAGTCGATCTAGTGACTCTAGCCAAGTCATAGATCTAAGTCGCTCTGTTTCTCATGAAAGTGAAAGAGGAGATAAAGACAGCAGTAGGATAACTAAGCGTGATTCCAGAGTTAATGATCGCACAAAGAAAAAATCATCCTGGTATAATGTTCTTTATCCTAATTACAAAACGCGATCAGAAGACTTCAAAAGAATTTTTAAGGACGTTCCAGATGATGAAAGACTTATTGTTGAATATTCTTGCGCAATGCAAAAAGATATATTACTGCAAGGTAGGCTTTATGTTTCTCAGAACTTCTTATGTTTTTATGCAAACATTTTTGGTTGGGAGACATCTGTATCATTGAAATGGAGAGAAGTGACTGCTATAACCAAAGAAAAAACTGCATTGGTAATACCTAATGCCATTTTAGTTTGCACTGAAGCAGAAAAACACTTTTTTACTAGTTTTACTGCTAGAGATAAGGCACATTTAATGCTATTCAGAGTATGGCAGCATGCGCTTATGGATCAACCTGTACCAATGCAAGTAATGTGGAAATGGGTTCATAATTGTTACGGTGATGAATTGGGCCTCACAAGCGATGATGAATATGCAGCCCCGAATGATGAAGAAAAGTTATCTAGTGCTCGTTTGTCTGTAGAATCTTTTTCTGAAGAAGGTTTGAGCGTTGCTGAGCAAAACATAGAAATTGAACATGCAGAAGAAGCTGACAGTAACATTGATTTATCAACATGCATAGCATTACCACCTGGTAATCCAGAAACGCCATTGAGGGCTTCAACTCCAGCTGAACAACTTCCAACTGATTTATCCGACACCACTGATTCTGATGTAGAGAAGTCTGCGCCTTTTTTGCCAAAATCAATCATATGCCCAGCTCCACATGTAGGCAGACAACTTGTTCAAGCAGAATTTCCAATACATGTTGACACTTTGTTTACGTTGCTTTTTACTGGTTCACAATTTTTAATAGATTTTCATGCTGCCAGAAACACGCAAGATTTAGTTCAGGGTTCCTGGGCACAAAATACGCACGGGGTAAAAAGTCGTACAGTTTCTTTAACAGTAGCTTTAACGCAGCCTGTGGGACCGAAAACGTCGCAGGTAACTGAGACTCAGGTGATGTTGCCTTGCAGTAAACCTGGCCAGTTGTATTCCATAGATATTGACTCTGTGAATGTAGGCATTCCTTATGCAGCAAGTTTTTATGTTACAATGCATTACTGTCTTATTCGTACTGGTGATCAGCAATCTAGTATTTCAGTGCACGCACAAATTAAATACAAAAAATCTGTTTGGAGTGTCGCAAAAGGTTTTATTGAAAAAAACGCTTGGGCAGGTTTAGAAGACTTTTTTGATGCCCTCATCAAAGCCTTAGCGGAAGAATGTGAACTTTCTCCAAATAGACAAAGAAAATCGCGAAGGAGAAGACGCGTAACGGCACCAGTGCCTCGTCCTACTGATGACGGATTCAGATCTCGTAGTTCTCATATTTTGCCATACACAAGCAGAACATCCAGTCAGACTGTTAATCATCCAGTGAGGAGATCCACAGATTCTTTAGCTTGGGGAGTGCTGGTCATTCTCGTCATTTTAGTATTTTTAAATGCTGCATTATTTTATAAATTATGGGCTCTTGAGGAGAAATCTTCACAAGGACCTACAGAGGTGCATGTTATGAGAAATCCACCGCAATCTCATGATGAATGGTTAAGAGTATTACAGCGTCAGGAATCCTTGCATTCTGCAGAAATGAGAAAATGGCAAAGGGTACTTCATTCAGCGATCCAATTGCTTCGAAAGACAGAGCAGAGCTTAGGGGAATTGCATCAAGCACTGCAGCCTGTCACCCCACCCGCTGAAATACCAGAAAAACACTCAGAATTATAATTCTGAAGCGCTATTGTTAATATTATTGTAATAAAATTCCCATGGCATTTGTGATCATATATGCAAGAATGTATAGATTATTCCTAGTCTTACTTTACTTAAAAAGCAGGTTGCATAGATGTTAGAATATAAGTAGATCAATTATGTACCTATATGCATTCATAGAATACAATTTCTATTATGAAATATTCCAATTTATAATTGTTAAGAGATCTCTTATTTAAAAATTATCAAATTGTCGGTTGTTCAATGATATTTTAATAGATTGCAGAGATGCGTTCCATTTCTCTTTCTTTTGTGTGTTAATTAATTATTATGCATCGAGAACAACTTACTATCAGAAATCAGTATGTTATTCTTATCAAAGTATTTTAATAGTTTTGTTAGTTTTAATATGAATTATTTATCATTTAAGTGTGAAGCACTTAATTTTAAATATTGTATATCATTGCCACATAGAAATTTATCATGTTATTTATTCTTGATGTATATGCATATAAATGTGTATATAAAAAAAATGTGAAATTGAAGAAATAAAGTTTCGACAACAATAAAATTCTTTATATAAAGAAAATATTATAAAAAAAACACTTACCAAAGTTGAAGTTTAGAATTATTATATCACTATTTTCTGAAAATGGTCGTTTCAGCTTCTAATAAGATGTAACAATACAAAAACAAAAATTAAATTATGTGTGAATCATCAATATATAAATAAAATTATTTTTGCACAGCAGATTCCTCTTTTAACCCTTTTTACTCAGTTGTCCCCATGAGGGACAACGAAAATCTAGCTTATCGCTCGGCTGTCTCCTTTGAGACACTCGGCAGTTTTTATACACGATGGCTCAGTTCGTATTAAAGCATGAAATATATATAGATCAAGGATGAGCAACCCGCGGCCCTCCAAGCATTTCGAAAGTAGAGTTTCATTTAATTCATCACCTTTATTTCATGAATAAATTAGTTATAATATATATTTTTGAAGTAAAACTTCTTTATGCGCGACTAGGGCGTAAATCTGTACAAATGCAACGAAAATTGTGTTACGCCCGAACTGTACGTTATTCGCTCTTAATGAAATCATTTCAATACGGGTCGATTGTGATAAGTCGTCGTGTATGTGAATAGAGGTCTGTCGTTGTATGCGTACCGATATCAACAAGAAAATCGGCATAGATAAACATTTTAAAGTTGCATCGTAGTACAAATCTTGATTTAAAGAAAAGTGCCTGAATCAGAAGAATATTTTACCCTGTTTCTTGAAATTTAATTAAAACAAGTTAAACATTTGTGCCGTGTACTAAACGTAAGTTTATTGATTAGAAATTATTTCTATTTGCATTTCTATATTATTCGCAGTTTCAACAAATCTTTGAAAATGAAAAATATTTTTTAGGCAAGACAGATATTAAAGCTGTTCAAACGATGAAATTATATCGCCAGCGAAAAACTAAAAAATACAAGCAGTCGATAAATGTATGTTAATTTTAATTACATAAAGTTGCGAAAATAATATTAGTACTCTTTTTTTCAATAAAGCGACCCAAGCTATTCGTATGTCCTTAATGTTCACAAATTCATATAAAACAAATTGCATAACATACACATTAAGATCGAGTTTTCAGCATGTACGTTACAAATAGAATGCGGTTGCAAGTTGCTGGTACATTGTTGTTGAATCAGTTTTGACTGATAAGGGTTAAAAACCCATTAATCTATGAATATCTAATTTTCATACCTGAATAATCTGAAAAGTAAAATTTTACTGATATGTTTAAGACAAACATCAAACTCGTACTTGAAACAGTCTCAACATTTCCTGTTATTTAATAATACATAATAATACAGAATATAAATAAGGAATTCATAATATAATTTTGCAAAAGTTATTTTGCATTTTTGTACAATAGTTATTGGTTTGAAAATATCAATTATCACATATCCGACTATCTCAAACACACATACACAACACACTTTCTTTAATATTTATGTAGCCTGTATAAATGCAATTATTATCTATCAATTCTCAATAGCAAATAGAAATATTCTTAATTCGTTACACGGGAGGTTGAAGTAAATCGCTATACTGCATGAGGCACTCACGAAGGCTTCTAGAGACCTGAGAAGAAGCTGTTACAGTACATTCCACTAAGTAGGGATATAAGCCTATTAATTGATTCCACGCTGATACATCGACTTAAAAAAATAGATTAGATTAATAATAATTTAAATACTAAAAAAAAAATATTTAGACTTAGTCACCTTTTCCAGCTGGGGCTTTTTTCATTGAAATTATAAGTGTTGCTACAGCTTTCAATACAAAAGATATTTCAGACATTCTGTATCTAATTTAAAAAATTAATTGTATTTATAATAGTTAAACGAGTAGAAAATGTGGTATATGAAAATAGAAATACCTCGGTAAAGGACATTTTCCACTTTGTCTTTCATCTTCATTATATTTTTTCAATACTTCCTGGAACCTGTAAAGTAATGCTGTAACAGCTAACCGGCCTGCTACACCACCTTCTTTTCGTGTTTCATTATTTTGCTCATTTGAATTTATAAAATCATTATCAATATCATCACTATCCAGTAATGAAAATTGAAGTAAAGTCTCAAAGCAAGTTTTAGCAAATTCTTCACGTAACTTCAGCTCAGACTCTGAATCTAAATAGAATTATTATAAATTATTTAAAATTAATATTATTATAATAAATATATTCTATTGCTGAAATGTGTCTCTAATACCCATGTTTGAACCGGTTGCTGAATGAATTGAGCCTTTATTAAGTAGCACAACCACTTTGAGAATAAATTGCTTAGGCATACAATGCGAATACGGTAAAACCTCGGCACGTAATAATTCTATCACTTGACAGTCAATTGTTTCATCTGTTACTAAATCATCTAAGCCATGATCTGCACCCATGACACTTAAAAAAGATTATATTTAATAAAAATTATGAATAAACAAGTACAAAAAATCTTTGTACAAGTACCTCTTTGGAAATAGAAAATGATCAAGAGTTTCATATAACTCCGACCACATTTCTGTAAAATGTTCAGCATTTGATCTTGCTACTGGTAGACCAGTCTTAAGAACAGTCAGTAAACTAGCGATGGCTAATTTCCATGTAGTTTGAGAAACACAGTTGTATTTCAAAGATAAAGGCAGATGGATGGCCTAAAATAAACATAAAAGAATGTAACTAATTATGTATTATCAGAAACACTAAAAAAAATATTAGTGATGCAGCTATGTTTAAAGTTTTAATAATTTTATTCTTCAATTGTTCTTGAGAAATCATGGCCAAAAATAGGTTTACCTTGATAATTTCATAAAGAATATTATTTCGTATGACTGGAACCTCACTTGCTGTTTGTTGGTATAATTTCACAGCATGGCTCATAGATTTCTCTCCAAAGGGAACAAAAACTGTTGTGACCCATTCATTAGAAATATTTCTAGATCCTGCTACATTTTTAGTATCACCATTTTCTGTAGTTGGCGGTGCACAAGCTAATATTGAAAAATTAAGGAGTTGTTTAAAAATAGGTGCTATCATAAGATTTAATTTCACCGGACAAGATAGAGCTTCATTTTGTAATAGCTGCATACAATGCAGTACCCCATCTTGGAGAGGTGTAATAGTCATATCAGATAAAGGAGGCACCATATAAGTAGCATTATCATTACTGATTGGTACAATCATTGCATTTTTCAGAACTTGACACAATTTATTCAAATCTTCGGGAGTGAAGTTATTTCTTATATGCTGAAATACTGCAGGAAATATCTGTACAAGAGCTGTAAGTAGACTTTGACTAGGAACATAACAATCCTCTTTGCTCAAACTTTCACCAAGCATAGTACTTTCTACACCAATGTTAATCCAAATTCTCCAAGCTACGTTCCACAATTGTGTATCAGCGTTATTATTAGATACGCCAGAGTGCCCATCAATACTTTTATCACTTTTATTTGAATATAAAATTTCTTGGAATGATTTTAATGCAGCTAGTGAAACTTCATTATTTTTACTTAATGCTGAATATTCTATGAATTCTAATAACAACGACCACGCTTTTGGAAAATCTCCAAGTTGAAGAAGTAATTGCCTCTTTGTATTAAATACTCTTGCAACACCAGACAATGTTAGAACTTGCGTTTCAGCCCATTGTTTCTGTGCAGTGTTTCTTGTATGATGTATCAAAATATTTCCACTTGTGTCAACTTTTTCATTGCTCGCTTTCATAGACAAGGAACGAACCTATAATAACAAATTAATTAGTACTATTATTATTACTCCCACCAATAACAAAAGATTTCCTTCTACCTTATCCAATAGTGGAAAAAGCACCAACCATAATACACTTTGCCAAGTATTTTGATTCAATAAGATACCATGGGCAGAAATAGTTGAAAATAATGTCTGTCCTGCAGATTTCCGTACAGCAGGTCTAGAATCAACACAAAGTTCACCTACAAAAAAAAAAAATTAACAAAGTCTAATAATATATATATAGATATATGAACAAACTTTACCTAGCCATGTATATAAGCACATCCAGAGCTTATCAAAAGGTGGCATGTTAAGAGTTCCAGGAAACTCAGGTAATACAGATGATTCAGAATTTAATGCCGCACATAATTTTTCTTGATTTTGGTAAAAATAATCAGATATGTTCCACTAAATAATATATAATTAATTAATATACAAACAGTCACAAAATATATCAAATTTCCCAGCATTTACCATTAATCCAATAGCAGTTAAAGAAATGTTCAGTTCTTGAGTTTGTGAACCAAATTTTGCTGCAGTGTCAACACACAATGTAAGGCAATGGCAGGGCATAATTGGAAGAAAATCAGTAACTACCAATTGAAGACATTGAAAAGCAACACGTATTAAATTTTCTCTAAAAAGATTAATACAAATCAACATGGTTGAGTCATGTATCAATAAAAAAAATATATATAAGAATACCCATGATGTTCTGACACTGCTCCAATTATACCAAGAACTAAAGGCCACCCGTAGGATAAGGTTTCACCACAACCATGAAGTATTTGAAGAACACAGTCTAATTGACCCTCTCTAACATCAACATGATGAACGGAGTTCAATTCAGCCAGTGGACCGAGAAGAAGAATTTGAAGTCTCTAAAATTAAAGCAAAGATAATTTTACAAAACTATCTTTCAATTATTATTATTGTCCTTTCTACTAAAATAACAAGACATAACTCTTACTTGATTCTCTTTTAATGGCGTACTATATTTATGTTGTAATGCTGCTTTAACAAGATATGTAATTGCTTCAACGCCCCATTCTCTCATTCTTATGTGAGGGTGCCTGCATACCTCCAGAAGATGATTTGTTAATGGCCTCCACAAAACTTCAACTCTAGGCAAATTTACTAAACCTGTTTCTAGTAATTTTGCCACAGCAAACAGGGAAGGCTCCTGAAAGTTGGATTTTAAAAGTGATATGGGAAATGATAAAAGATTACATGTATTAGATTTGTAAATACAATAATTATTTAAAAGCTACTAATCAATTACTTACTCTGTTAGAATATGCAAGCTCCATTGCTTCAAGAGATAATTGGCAAAGAGCATCAATCAAATGATGTAATGCGACATCATTCAGTGACTGGCTCGATTCAAATAATCTACTAAGCATTGTTGATAAAATTGGCAAATCGGCCATAACAGCTGTGGTTATAACTGCATTTGAATCATTGGAAGTTCTAACTGCTTTCAATGATCCTCCAGTAGATGGTTTCAATCCAAGAATCCAAACCTACAATAATATAAAAAATATTTATAGGCAACTTAGAAAAGAGCTCAATTCAGCAGTTTATGAAGTAAAACTTCTGTAGGCGCAAAATCTGTGAGAATGCAAAGGAAATTGCGTTACACCCGAACTGTAGGTCATTCGCTCTCGACGAAATCATTTCCATACGGGTCGATTGTGATTAGTCGTCGTGTCGCGTGAATAGAGATCTGTCGTTGTATGCGTTCCGATATCAACAAAGAAATCGGCATAGATAAATAAACATTTTAAAGTTACATCGTAGTACAAATCTTGATTTAATAAGAATTAGAAGAATATTTTACTCTGTTCCCCGTAAATAATTATAATAAAAATAACAAAACAAATGAAACATTTGTGCCGTGTACTAAACGTAAGTTTATTTAATTAATTTCTATACTATTTGTAGTTTTTTAGGCAAGGCACATATTACAGCTGCTCAAAGAATGATACAAGCAGTCAATGAATGTATGTTAATTTCAATTACATAAAGGTCTTCAAACACAATTATTACATGAAGATTGAAATTGTGAAAACAATATTTCTTTAGGCGTTGTTTAACATAATCCACTGTGTGAACGAATATTATAAAATTTATTAACCAGCAATTACTTCATTTCTCTAATGAAGGTTCAAGTCCTAAATGCTAATAACAATGACAAACCGATCATGTCATATTTAAAGTATGACTATAATTGCATTATTGTTTTCAAGTATAATAAATATTTTTAATTCTATTATAAATATATAATTTATAATTTATTATTATATATAAATATGTATGAACCTTACGCACACTCTTTTTTTTCTCTCAATAGAAAGTTAGAATGCTATGTTAAATTTGGATCATAATCATTCAAAAAACACATGCCACAATAAAGCCATTAAGAAAGTATTGAATAGATTTTATTATAAAATAATGCTCACCAAATGCTGTAGTGTAGAAAGAACAATATGCCAAGCCGTGCCAAGAATTATGCCATAAGAATGTGAAAGGTTTAAAAGAGATCTCATGCACTGAAGATTCTTCGCAGTCAACATAACTGGACCCTGCTGGGCACCTGATTTAGAAAAAATTGTAATTTAATTAAACAGCCAAATATTGCTCTTTTTCGGGATTCATTTTAATATTGAAATAACAGAATTCTTATAATCTTAATATATTTTTTGTAATTTAAGAGCAACAAAAACTTTAATTTAGAGGCACTTGAATAAATTCTAACAATTAAAGTGATAAACATGTTATATAGGAGAAAACACTCACTAAGTAATATTTACAAGCTAACAAAATTCAAAATAAAATAACCAACACCAATATAAGAAGTATATTAATATCGTACCTGCAGGTAAAGAAGCAGTAGGCAAAGGAGTGCCAACAACAACTACTTGTTGGCGATAATCGCACTCATAAGGAACCGAATATTGATTCAAATCCTGACTACCTGTTCTGGAATGTGTTCTTATATTATTTCCTACACCTTGGAATTGCATATTGAAAATACTCAACATATAGTTAGCCGGTAAAGAGGATTTACAAATTGCCGTAATAAAAGCATCCCTTGGGGTATTTAATTCTAAATGCCCACATAAACCAGTGTAAGTTTGAATGGCTTTTAAAATATTTTCTGTAGTCTGTTCATCAGTACTAGAATCTATTAATGGAACAAAAGCAGCTAATAAACCACACCAACTAGAATTTACTAATTGGTTGTATAATTTGATATCATCTCCATTAGAGAATGATATATGAATTTTATTGTCATTAATTTTGTCACGAACAACAGCTGTAGATTTATTTTGTTCAGGATGTGCTGTATCCTGTGTTTCAATTTGCTCACTGTCAACATTTTTAGTCATAATATTAGCAATTGACTGAACAATATCCAGCAAACAAGCATAGGCAATGGAAATACCATATCCTTCTGGTATTACAGGTGGATCAATCTTATCAAGCATTTCCAAACTGATAAAATAGACACACTTTACATTGATGTTAATATTATATTTATCATTATGACTTGTTAATCAACTTACTATGTTGCTCTAGCTTGGCCTCTGGTAACAGTGCCAATTATTGGAAGCCAAATCCCTCGAAAGAAAAATCCTGGCTGAGACATAGAATTCATATTAAGCATACCTGTTTGAACTACTGGAGTACCAGAAGAATTTGCTTAAAAAAAATTCATTTATTTTAACTAAAATAAATGAAAAATGGAATTTCATTAGTTAATTTTCTTACAATTTTGCCCTGTATTTCCCACAAACAAACTCTGAACATAGGCTCCTAAAGAATTGACAATGTCTTGAAAAATATTAGTGGCATGAGGTTGAAGATCATAGCTCTGGCACAAATCATGTACTAATTGTGAGCTAACACATAATTTGTGCAGAACTTGAAGTGCTAATGTTCTTTGCCATGGCGGCTTATCAGGTTCCAAAAACTTTACTATCAATGATAAAAATATTTCACATTCTGTCACCTAAAAACCACACCAACTTAATAGATAGATATATACATAAGCAGTAAATGTAAATACATAAGCAAAAATGTGTCTTACCAGTAAACTATGATATTTTTGTATCAATACCGTTACAACACGTAACAATCGTACACTAATTGGAAAATATGGTTTATCCATAGGTGCACTCTGTGCCGGTACAGAATTACGATATTTTAAATTTGGAGAAAATAGTTTGATTACAAGAGCACAAACTCGTTCTTTCAAGAGAAAGCTGAATTCCTGATTCTAAAAAGGAAACAAACATTATTAATTGCGATGTTTTGCAAATTAATTTGTATATGTTATTTATTACCTTAAAAAACACTTCTGAAAAATTTGTTAATACAGATTCTAGAAGTTCTAATCCAAAAGTTCTGGTCATTTCTGTCATTCCTATTAACCAAAATGGTTGATCAGCATTGACCAATTGAACAAGATCCTACAAAGAAAAAAATGATACCATTTTATAAATGTTTTACATGTAATCTTTTAAGCAAGTTTTATACCTGGAACATCAAATATGCATCTGCTGCACAAGGTTTAAGTCCTTTAGGTGGATTTCCAGAAGGTGTTTTTAGTTCTTCCAAATTAACTTCTCGCGGAGTTGCTTCATCTTGGGGACTTGCAGCTTCTTCAGCTAATACTCTTTCAAAAACTAATGATACCAGTTGTCTTACAGTTGCGCCTGCTGTATTTATTGTTGTAGAATCCTTTGTGAAATGCAGTCGAAAACACAAAACTAATGTCTGGAAAATATAACACATTAACTAACAAGCAGAAATTTTAAAAGGGAGTCAGCCTTATAAATGAGTCTATTAAGAATATTTACCCGTGCCAATGTTTCTCCATGAACAACAGTATTTGTTGTTAAAAGTAATGTGACACTCTGCAATAATCGAACTTCTTCAGTTCCACTTTGCATTAAATTCCATAATGTGTTAGTAATGAATCGAGCCCCTTTCGGGTCTACTACTTGTTGGGTGATCAGCCTTTGCATCATTCCCAAACAAAACTGAAATAGTAATAATTGAATTAGAAACATCATAAACTAAAAAATGCTAGATTTTGTGGATTAAAACAATTGACAATCAATGTTATCAATTGTTTTAAAGCAGTTATTGATTTTGACAGTTGATTGATTCGTTTGACAGTTGATATTTTAGAATCTAAACAAATATAGAAATATTACAATTACTGTTGAAATGACAGTAACAAATGTATTGTGTATTTATGTGTTATGTTAATGGTTATAATATTTACTTTTATGATCTTCACATCTTTGGATTCACATCCTTGTACCAAAGGATACATAATTTGATTGACTACGTAGAAAACAGGAGTTTGTGGATTTGCTGCAGCACTTCGTAATTTAGCAATAGCCTCATCACAAGACTACAAAATAAATAATCAGTAAATAAATGTTACACAAATGATAACCTCAAATAGCATCGCGTCAACATTCGATTTACCTCTCGAATTTGAGGATATTTCTTTTTCGTTTCCAATGATAAATTTCTGAAATCATTTTGTAAAACTTCTAAAAAGTTTTGTGCAGCCTCACTCCCCGTCGTTCCGCTGACGAAAGACATCCTTGATATTTTGACACTTTATTTGACACGTAATCAAATAATATGATATTGTCTTTTTATTTATACCACACCCATCATTAAATTTATTAAAACTAGTTCACTGTTAGTAATTTATCAAGTATAATTGTTTGTTTGTTTATAAATAATCATAATTAAGCCGCAAAATAACACTGAACCCATCCATCCCCCATTCTGTTGTCAATTAATCCAAACAGAGCTGCCAATATCTTTAAGGCATTTAAACTTTTAAAGAGCGCGTAGTGGGGGAGCTGATAACAATTCTACTAATTTGTTATTGTAATAAAATTATAATTGGCATTTGATGTCAAATTATGCAGCGCGATAAGTATATAATAATAAAAATTATATTTATTTAAGGTAAGCAAACGATATAATTGACTCATTATAAAAAATTAAAAATAAATATAAATTGATATTCTATTCAATTAACTTACCGAAAGAGACCTTTATGTTTTCATCAAAAAATCCGATTTGCTAATTTTATGTTCTTTCTACCTTTCAAGCCATTCTGAATCGAATGAGATCGGATTTGGAAAAAGTATGCGTGTGTGTGTATCATATTTTTGACATTTTATCGAAATTTTCTCAAAAACGGCTGGTTTAGAAATAGTTTTAGATTCTAATAAATTTGTATTGTATATTAAAGTTTATACTATTTTTGTTCGAGCGTATTAGGTCGCAACAATTACAATATCAAAAACAAAATAAAAAAACATAAAAGGCATTACAATATAAAAAACAAAAGACGAGATTATAGCTAATTAACTTATGAGAATATTTTTATTTTCCCCAAGGAGATGTCATCACCAGAAAATCCATTATGTTTTCTCGACGGTTCAAGTCATTCTGATGAAGAGTTTAAGACTAAAATTGGAAAAAACTATGTGTATGTGTATATTCACGTATTTGAGCCAAAATTTCACTTTTTATCGACCTGTTTTTGAAAACAGTTGACCCGATTTCAAAATTTTTAAAACCATTCGATAATACTCGACAAGGATTCGCGTTAGTTAGTTTTGCGACACGATTAGTTGAGCCGTTTCTTTAGAATTAAAAATTTATCATTTGAAAATCGTGCTGATTAGTTCTTGGCAATGATCGTAGCGTTTCTTCGTAATTGATGGGCCGATTCTGCCGCACAACAGACCAATGTTATAGCAAGGCCATGCTACACTCCAACTTGCATATATTGTGCTACTGAATCATACTAAATACTGTCAAAATGTCATGTATTTGCTGTGCATTCAGGCGTTTTATACATAAACTGCAACGTTACTCGAATGTTATAAAGCTGGGTCAGAAAGACCCTGTTATCTAACATCGTTTTTTTGACATTTGTGCGGTTTCTAGGTTAGGTTTTCGATTTCGACAACCTGAGAAAAACGCCTGATTGCACATCAGCCACATTGCTGTTGTCAAATTTAGAACGATTTTCTATGAACAATTCTTCATAACATAGCCTTGCCATAACATTGGTCTGTTATGCGACAGAATTGGTTCACAGATGTTAAATTTTTATCTTTTTTGCTTTTTCAATGAAACTTATCAAAGCGATGGAGTTCCTGGACTAAACGAACATCCAAAAATATTATGGGCCTACGGAACGTGGTTAGATTATAAAAAATCATTAAAGATTGGAATAGTAAACTGCACTTTTAGGACATACAAGCGTTTTTTTTCTTTAAGATATCAATTGGAAATGACATTGATTATTTCTAGTGATAGCCAAATTTCTATTTTGACGATGAGCAGTTGAAAATTTTACCTAAATATAATATCTAAATCTCAATTATGCAACTTGCCTAAAAAAATCCACTTACACCTAGCTAATTTTTTTTAATAATAAAAGCATGAAGCACAATGTAGTATGCACACCAGTTGTGTTTATACAAAATATGAGTAATTTCGCAACTTGCTATTGTGCAATTTAAATATATGCGATAAATTATTGCATTTGCTGATTAAAACATTCCATACACAGCCCACATAATATTCTATAGCATTTAATTCGAATTTATTTAAATACCAAGATGAAACACAATGATATGCAAAATGAATTAAAAAAAGGCTCCGTGGCTCCGTAGTATTATCTTGGCCTCGCAATCACTGGTTAAATTTCGAAACCCGCCTAGGCCAGATATCATAGATCTCACATATGATATAAAGTGAAAATAACTCGATCCTATTATTTTGAAGCTGAGACTTGAACAAAAGAGTAAAATTTTATTTGAACAATTTTATTAATATAATTTATATTGATAATAAACATTATATAGTAAATTGTGCATACAATTAAATGAAGTCTATACCAGCAAATCAAAGTTTCCACTCTATCATTCACATATGATGTGATTATATTTAAAATCATATATTAAATATAGTACAATGAATAACAATAAATTATAATATATAGTAATATTGTAATATTTCCCGGAGTATATATTCTAGTACTACATAAATATGAGATACCTGGATTAATGTAAAAGCATCAAATTTGCAGTAATTGCTATAAAAGCAATTATAAAAAATATATTTATAAATATGCTGGAGTTATCAAATAATCCATTTTTACACATTTGGAGCAAATATACAAAATTTTATTACCCTAAACAAATTTGGTTGAGATAAATCAGCTTTAAATAGTAAATAAAGTCTAGACAAATCTTAAGGTAAATAGTTATAAAACATTTAGCTCATTCATACCAAATTATTCACAGAAATATGTCAAAAAATTAAGCAATAAGGGCAAAATAAGAATTTTCGAATATCAAATTTTGAGGCCTCAAATATGATCGTAAGTGAAAATAGATTTCTGGGGGCATTGCTGCAACATACGTTTATAACTGTTAGATATAGGTAATATAATCGTCCAACAAACGAAAATGGTCAACCGATGAGTTGCTTTACGTGAAATAGTCTTCATTGTAAAACAAGTAGTTCTGATTGCATTACAACAAATAAAATTAATCTTTTATTTTGCCCTATTATTTGACATTATCTAATGGACGGAGAAACAACTTATTTCGAGCCTTAAGAAAAGGCACAACATTCAAACCTAAAATATTTCACAAAATATTCACGTATTGCAAAATAGAAATATCAATAATAACACGAGACTTTAAATACATTTGGACTTAAATGCAGAACCAAATTTCTATTTTAAACGTGATATAAGAAATTTAAAAAAAATTACTCAGTGAGTTAACTTTTTTAGGCTAATAAATTAATTTTTGTTATAACACCCGTGTTTATAAACATCCACAAATGATGTCGAAACATTTACATTTTAACAAATAAATTGTTATGATATATTGTTAATAACTACAATACACTTAGTGTATGGTACGTAAAACTATGTAATATATTCACAATGTATAAAACATAATACTAGAGCATTTCATGTAAATTTAATAAATATATGAATAGGTTAACATTAAATAAAATATATTTTTATATACTTATAGATATCATAAATTTTTTGAAATATTCGGAATATGATAAAATAGGAACAACCATCCTATTCACATATTGTACGAGTATATCAAAATGTTAGTACAAAATTATGAAATAATTAAACAAATTATCTAATCAATTCACACCTACTAAAATACTTTCAAATAACGAACAATATCACTCTTCATTTTTGAATTTGATTCATTCTTAGAAATTTATAGTATAAGATTGTGTCAAATACTTTTTTATAAATTATATTCTTATATCTCCATTAATATTTATATTAAACTTAGAATCGACTAAAATAATATGATATAATATTAAAATAATACGATATAATAGTGCAAAAATATAGATCACAAACAAGCGAGTTCTTGAATTATTTCTTGATCAAAATAGTAATAAATGATATTTGGACCTATAAATCTACCACAAATATACATTATTATAATGTGATGGACTTCTTATTACTTAAACATCATACTTTATATATAGGATAAAAGGATGTATAGATAGTTGGGTATACATATAATAAATATTTAATTTTTACATTGATAATTAGTCAAAATTTCTAATAAATACTCATCATTTTACTTATTTATCTTAACAGTATTAACAGCAATTCATTAAATAACGAGAAAGTTAAAGGTACTCTTCACACGCAAATTGACTGCGCCATTATTAAATCCTTAATCATTTAATATATTAAAACATTACAGAAAATATATATTAAACATCATACCTCTACAGACAATAATTTCAGTAAATGTATTATAGATAAAGGGATCAATTCTGCCGCATAACAGACCAATGTTATGGCAAGGCTATGTTATGAAGAACTTTCCATACAAATTCGTTCTAAATATTGACAAAAGCCATACGGTTTCTGTGCAGTCAGGTGATTATCTCAGGTTGTCAGATAGAAAACATAACCTATAAACCGCAAAAATGTAAAAAAACGATGTTAGATAACAGGGTCTTTTTGACTCAGGTTCATAACATACGAGTGACGTTGCAGTTTATGTGCGAAGCGCCTGAATGCACAGCAAATACATGACATTTTGAAAGTATTCAGTATGATTCAGTAGCATAATGTATGGAAGTTAGAGCGTAACATGGCCTTGCCATAACATTTGTCTGTTATGCGGCAGAATCGGTCCCAAAGTTTTCATAGTTATAACTAAATGTTACCATCATACTGCCTTTTACACACAAAGTAGAAATTCAAAATGCATAGGAAATAGTATTTACAGGAGGTAATATATAGGGTGACCCACAACTCAACGCCAAGAAATGGAGTGACAGGATTGTAAAAAATAGACAAAAAATATTCCAAGCAGTTAAACGTTATGAGCCTTTAAGTACAAGTGACCTAGAGCTTTGGTCAAGTTGTGACTATTTTTTGGTTATTATGGTTAATTTTTATTATTTTTGTAAATTTAAACTGTGGAACCATAATCATGAGTGGCATTTCTAAGACCTCAGTCACAAATAATGACAATTGCTCCAAGTTTTTTAATATCAACCCTTTCTACTCGCGAATTCCGGAATTTATATGTATTTTGCCGCCGAAACGACGGCATCTGAGTCAAAAGGTTTAAGACTATTTGTTAAACTATGGGTTTAAATTTTCCAAAATTTGTCGAATTTGAAACGCTCTTCTTTAATAAAATGTACTAAAGTGCCTTGGCAATTTTATTAAAAGTTCGATCATTTAATCAGGATTGTAAAAT